ACGAAAGACAGGTGTAGGGAGGACTGAGTGATCCCATGACAGGTGGGGAATGAGTGACAGGAAATGGAGATAAGACAGTGGCAGAGGGGAAGGAGCGGTGAGTGAGTGACAGCCAAGGGACACGAGGAGGGAGGAGGATTGCATGAGTGAGGCAGGGGACACAGTGGCACTGTGGCAGATGGGGGCACGCGTGTCGTGGGGGGGTACAGAAAGCGCCGGTGGCAAATGGGGCGATGACCGCGGTAGGACGGGGACAGCCAAGTGATGCAATGGTGACGGATGGCGTGAAGGGCAGGTGCGTGGAGCACAGGGTGGCACAAGGCGTAAGGAGGGAGTGACGGCCATGGCCCAGAAACACAGGTGACACAGGTGAGTGAGAAAAGGGCGAGAGTGGACTTCCATGGACAGATACGATGGCAGGGAGCCGGAGGAGTGAGTGGAGAACTGCATGACAAAATGGTGGTTGGGGAGTGAGTGACAGGCCCGGGGACCGAGTGACACGATGGAACGTGGGGTGTAAGGAGAAGAATAGGGAGGAGAGGACCTGACCAGTGAGGGCTAGGAGACGAATGGCAGGTGTGTGGAGGGACAGTGGCGGGTGGTGGGTAGAGAACTGTGGCTGCGGGGTCAGATGGGGGACGAGTGGCAGACCCCGAGGAGCAGTGACACACAGTGGGACAGGAAAGTGAAGCCGGAGTGAGATCCAGATGGGGAAAGAGGGCCAGGTGCCTGGAGCACTGGGCGATAAGTGGCAGTTGGGGGATTGAGTGCACCCCGAGCCCGGTGGCACGGGGCAGCTCAAGGCAGTCACTGGGCTTAGCTGTCCCCACACTGCATGCAACCACTTGGGTTCCCAGCTCTGCCTGTCAAGGCCAGACCTTCTGTAATCTAGTCTGTCACCCAGAGCCGTTGATGCTGGTGGCACTGGTGAGGCAGGGTGGGGCTTGGCAAGTGCTAACATGTTTCAGAAACTACACCCCAAAATGGGAAATGCCATCCATTTCAGGAAGTCTGTGTGTGGCTCTGCTGGTGACTAGAGAAGGAGGTTCCGACGTACTGTGTTGGAGCAGCTGCAGAAACCCTGTGCTTTTTCTCTGAGTGCCCCACCCTGGGCTGGACCCCGGTCCTGAACCAGTCACCTCAATTCCCATAATGACCATCCCAGTTTCAGATGGACCCAGAGAGACAGGGGAAATAGTGCCCCCTCCTCCAAACTGTAGCTAAAAAAGGAAGACCCCATGTCTCACCCTCCTTCCCCGACGGAGACCAGTGTTTGAATTGTCCTCCCCAGCTCTGCAGAGGAGGTCTGGTCTCTTCTTCTGTAATGATTCTAGAGGTGGTAACAATCTAGATCCCCAATATGAGATTGAAGAAAGAAATGGCAGGGGGGTTCCACATCTGTCATATCATGGGAGAGCCCAAATGTGGGATGCAATTTTGGCTGAAAATGCTTATTATGAGAAGGTGACAAGATGGCGCCCAGAATCCCTTACACAAGCACCAAGACCTCAGCCCCACGCAGAGCAAATTCAGAGAAAGCACCCACACCCCGCCCAGACCCTCCCGGCTCTCCTGACCCCCACCCTCCCATTGACAGGTCTTGGGACGGAGACACTCAAACTGCCCTGCTAATCAGACAGGTCAGGCAAGGTACAGATAAAGGTCTCCCATGCAGAGGTCTGAAGCCTCACAAGTTTAGAACTAAACAATAAAATCCTTTCAGAAGAGCCACAAGTGGCACCGACACAGACACAGCAATGGGGAGGCATGGAAACCAGAACCGGGTGGTGATGTAATTGCATCTGCCCTTTGCGGAGCTGGCTGGACTGGTGCTGTCCCCTGGTGATCACGACAGCAGGCTGCTATGCCCAGGGCTCCCTGGAGATCTGGGGCGGGATTCAGTGCAATTTCCCTCCAAAGCCTTTCACCCAGGCGCGGCCACAGATTCAACACGAAGTGGCAATTATATGTGTTTTTTAAATCCATTTCACAGAGTGAGCTAATAACTGTATCTGAGAAGATGCGTTCATTAGAAGACGCCAGCACCCAGAGCTCCCACCGCAGCCTCCTCGGGAGGCTCGGACGCAAAGTTGACGCACACTTGAGAAATCGCTCAAGGTTAGATTAAAAATAAGAACGCCCATGAAGATTAACCCGATTCATTCACATCACTGTCCAGTAGAGACTACTCCTTGGAGGGCGGGCTCAAGGGTGGCTTTTGTTCTAGGCCTAAGAGCACCTTAATTTGCATTTATATTAAGAAAAAAAGGAGAAGAAAACAAGCAGAATTAACTGAACAGGTGCTTTATTTCCTGTAAATGTGAGCTCTTCTGCTAAAAGCTTCTTAGGCCAAAGAGCACGAGGCTGGATCAGCCACTGTCCAGGAACTTGGACCGCACACCTACTAAGTGCTGCACTGCGCCTGGCAGCCCTGGGCATGTGGGACCCTGCCGGCCCCCAGAGGCTGCCACCCAGCGCTGACTGTGTGATGGCCTTTTGACAGGTGGGCAAACTGAGGCTGGGAGTCAGGAAATGATGTCCCAGGACTATGGCAGGATTCAGATTCCCAGTCTGTGGGCTCCACATACAACATCTGTCCACTAATGGGCAGTTGTGTTAGGGCACATGTGTGAGAAAGAGAGTGTATATGTGTGTGTGAGGAGGTGAGACTATGGGTGTGTGTATAAGAGTGTGTGTGACTGCATGAGAAAGAATGTGTGGGTGTGAGACAGCATATGAGTGTGTCTGTGTAAGAAAATGTGTGTGTTTGCATGTGTGAGTGTGCATGAGAAACTGTGTGTATGAGACGGCGTATGAGTGTCTGTGTAAGAAAATGTGTGTATAAAAAATGAAAAAAAATTAAAAAAAGAAAAGAAAATGTGTGTGTGTGTGTGTGAGTGTGCATGAGAAACTGTGTGTATGAGACAGTATATGAGTGTGTCTTTATAAAAGAAAAAGTGTGAGAGTGTGCAAGTGTGTGTGTGTGTGTGTGTGTGTGTGTGTGTTCTCCAACCCTGCTTTTCAGAAAACCAGCTGAAACCCCAGTAAGGGAGGGAGAAGGTCACATGTTCCTCAGGAGCCCCTGGCCCTGCACTGAGGTGAGCCCACCACCCCTAGATGAGATGGCCGCCTCCATGTCCATGTTTCCCGTGTTCTCTTCAGAGGTTCACCATTAGGAGCACATGTCCAGAATCACCCGTCAAGATCAATAATGCAAAACATACCTTGATAAGAACTTCGTTAGTCACAACAGTTTTTTTTTAATTAGAACCTTTCTGTTTTGTTTTTTTTAACTCCATCTCTTTCCTCAATGCTGTTGCTCACCTCCTGGAAGCAGCCAAACCTTTTATGTGCTGTTTCACGACTGGGAGCCAGCACGGTCGCCATGTCACCTGTCTGGGTCTAGATCACAGAAAGCACCTTTAGAAACCTGGGCTTCCTCCCTCCCTTGCAAGGCCAGCTCCAGGGGCATGTTTCTTGCTCTCCTGCTCTCCAACACATAGGCCCCCAAAATCAATGACTTGCACATCTGCATGCCACCTCCACAGTTTAAAGACAGAAATGACGGCAATGACCAGCTGCACCCCCCCCCCAACACTAGAAACACAACAAGGAGGAAGGACTCTTCCCTGTTTGGTGCTAGCAGAGGGCTTGGGGCCAGCAGGGGCAAAGCTGATCACGGAGCCGACAGAAGGGCAACTTCCTTTCCGAACATTAAAACCTGCACCAATGAATTAAACATTGAAAACAAGATGACACTCTAAAAAGTCTTCTCAACCAAGAAGGAAAGACAGGCTGTCCTGTGCTGGTGCTTCCTGTTGCATATGGCACAGAGAAATCCACCCCCCACCCCCAACTCCCCAGCATGTAGAGCTTTGCAGACCAAGAAAAATATCAAGGGAAATTAGAGGGGAGGTCAGGGAGGGAAGTAAGGCATGGGGGCTAGAGAGGGCAGGAAGAAGGAGACCTCGGCCCAGCACTCAGTGGCCGAAAGGACTGGAGGGACAGCGTTCTGGCCCTGGCAGGTACAAGAGACACCTAATACCCTACAGACGCAGCATGCCATGCTGGGACAAGTGTGACCCACAGAAACGCAACACGGCCTGCTGCCCACAGGGATGAAGGGGTATGCTCCAATGCCCACAGGTCTCAAAGTGGCATGTTTGAAAGTCTCTCAACACCCAGCCTCAGTGGGGGTGATACCCTAAGGACACACCAGACACCCTGCTGGGACGCATCCCAGGCGTGGGTTTTATAGACAACTCCAAGTGCACCAGCTGGACCCTCATGGGGTGGGGTGGGGCTGAATGTCTCATTTCCGGGCAATATCCAGACTTGTCTTACCCACAGTCACAATCTAGGGGGTGGGCCACCCACCTCCATCCAAGAGCAGTTCACCTGCCTGGTCCCCACCCGGAGTGCTAGAGAGCACTCTTCTTCCGGGGGCCTGACATGGCCAAGCTCAAAGAAAAAGGGGGTGAAATCTGGTCTCAGGGAAGGCAAAAGGGAGAAGAGAGGCTAGCTAGTGACGGTCAGTGCCTCCCACCCTCAGGAACAGACTCCAGCTGCCTAAGTCCAAGTGTGCCAGCCCTCTCCAACTCCCCAAGAGGTAGTGAGTGTAAGTCTTGGAATCCCGCACAGCGCAGCCCGCGTTGGGGCGGTGGGTGGGTGGGTGACTGCGATGGGATTATTCTTAGCGTTCCACTCTTCGAAAAAGTGGCGCCTCCGCCCTCGGGGCTCCAACACACTCTCTCCAGGCTCACACGCCTGGCCCAGACACGGGCGCTGTGGAGAGCAACGGGTGGGGTTCCCAAGGAATGCGCTCAGAGGCATAAGAGAGGAGTGGGCTCCCCAGAGACCAGGGGGCGCTGCAGGAGAGCCCCCACACGAGGCTACGGGTACCCCAAACACCCCGCACCCAGCCCTGCGTCGCGCTTTCAGTGATTTCCCGGGACTCTTCCGGGAGCGGGGCGCCCAGCGGAGGCGCACCCAGCGCTTACCTATGGTAGTGATGACCGTGATGGCAAAGTAGAAGGAGCCAGCGAATTTCCACTGCACGCCGGCGCGGTGCGGCTCCGACTGCAGGATCACCAGCTCGAGCTGCCGGTAGTCATCGCTGCTGATGTTGTACTTGCCCCTGATCCGGATCTCCTCCGCCTTGAGCTTCTCCTCCTCGCGCATCTCATGGTCGGACTCGAGGGCGTCGAACACGGCGGCGCCCACCAGCAGGTACGTGAAGGTGCAGGCGATGAGGGACAGAGTCCTCACGTTCTGCCTCTTCATGGCTGCCAGCAAGGCGTTGGTGCGGGGGACCTGTCCCGCAGGCTGGCAGCCGCGCGCGTCCCACTGCAGCGCCCCGCGGCCGCCGCCTCCTCCGCCACCGCCGCTGCCACCTCCAAGTTGTAAGCGGTGGCAACAGCAGCAGCAGCAGCCGGGAGGCGGGGGGCCGGCAGCCGGTGGGGGACCCCCTCCGCTGGGGCCGCCGCCACCGCGAGGTGGACGGCGGGCCAGGGGTCCCGCGGGCCCGGGCTCCGAGGAGAAAGCCGGCAGGCACAGGAGGCTGCTAGAGCGTCTGGGCCAGGCGTCCTGTAACCCCGACACTCTGCGCCAGGCCCGGCGAAAGCAGCCCGCCGTGTTGCGCTGGGCCACGAGGGGCTGCCCAGTGACGATCCTCACGGACTGGGTGGCCCTGCGCATCCCGCCCCTAGCTCCCGCTGGAGGAGCAAGAGCGGGAGCCGGGGCAGGGGACAGGGTGGAGGGAGGAGCGGGGGTCCTGGGCTCCTCCTCGGGCTCCAGCTTGACGGTGGGCTCCAGGTTGACGGCGGCGCCCAGCGAGGGCGCCCTGCGGGATCTCTTACTCATTTTTACCCCTTTCTCACCCCCTTCCGGGGGCGGAAAAGTTTGCTAAGTGGCGGCTGTCTCTAGAGTCCCTTGCTTGCGGGGAGGGAGCAAAGCAGGTGCAACGGGTGAAGCAGCCCGATGCCCTAAGGTCCGAACGCCCCGAGCCCACCTGGGCGCGCGGGGACACCGCTGGGTGTCCGCCGCGCGTTGGCCGGTCTTCGAAGTTTGCTCTTCTCAGCCTTCAAGACGCAGGAGCGGGGTGCGGTCTCCAGACGGTAGGGTCTGCAGCGGAGCTACCTCGGGGACAGCCAAGGAACTGCGCGGCGGCGGCGGCGGCCAGTTAGCTTCTCCGGGGGCGGCGGGCGCGGCGGCAGCGGCGGCGGAGGCAGGAGGGATCCCGCGAGCCTGGAGGAGCTGCGGGGTGGAGGCGCGGGCGGGTGCGGACGCACCAGCCGCGCAGAGGTCTGAGCCCTCCGGCGTCTGGGCGTCCGGAGAGGCTGCCGCCGCGCTGGCCTGCCTGGGGCGCTGTGTGCGTGCGCGCTGGAGGGAGGCTGAGTGTCTGTGTTCTTCTGTGAGTGCGCGTGTGTGTTTGCGCTTGACAGCCCCGCTCCGGCGGGAGGGCCGCGGGGGGGGGGGGGGGGGGGGCCAGGCTACGCCGAGGCCGGGCCTCCCTCCCTCCCTCCTGCAGCCTCCGGGGCGCGCCACCTCCCGCCTGGTCCCCAGCCAACTGCGAGGCGGAGTGGCAGCTCCCGCCGCAGACCTAGCGCTGCGCAGGGCGCACAGGGAGGGAGCCCAGAAGAGGCGGCCAGAGCCGCCAGGGAGGGGGTGGGGGAGGGTTTAGGGCTGGGTGCCGCCGGAGAGGGGGTGGGGGGCGGAGCCACTAGCGGATTTTGGCGGGGGATGGGAGAACAAACGTGGCTGTTTGGGTCCTTCTAGCTCTGCTCCCCTCCGAGAGCGCACGCAGCGGTGGCAGACAGAGAGTTTGAGGGACCCGAGGCTGGGGAAGAAAAAAGGGATCCAGCCGAGAAGACAGACTGATGGCCGAAGGGAGCGGACAGATCAGGTGGAGAGTGAGGAGCAGAAGGAAGGGGCCCATGGGCACCTGGGGGCGCGGCACTTGCGGCCAGCCACCTGGCGCAAGAGCATGTCACCGGCCCGGGCCACCGCCTTCCAGAGTGGTGGGGTTCTGAGAGCCGCCTGAGTCCCTGGAGTGGTGCCGCCCGGGTGGCCCAGCCAGCACCTGCCAACCTGAACCATTTGCCCAAAGCGCTGAATAGCACAGGCTGCCGCTCTTAGAGTAGGGACAGCAGAAAAGGACGTGGCATTTCCCCTACAGTACCCTCCCTGTTGCTTTTCTGAGAAGCACTCCTGGTACCCGGTGGTGGGGTGCGGAAGCTCCGGGAAGGCAGCCCTGCCCCTCCCCCAGCCGCACCGCGCCGCAGCCCGCCTCTTGGGGCCGGTGCCGCGGGAGCCCACGTACACAAGACTCAGGCCGGGACACAGCTATTCCTTGGGTCCAGAGAAGCAGCTCAGCTTTTTCTCCTTTCCATTTAGGCCTTCTGGGTCCCCTAGCCCCCGTCTCCCTTTAGGTCGCCCTAGGCTTTCCCACATGAATGACTCCTGGACTGGGGGCGCTCCAAACCACGCCCCAAACCAATAGGACCAAGCCGCGGGAGACCCTTCCTTGGCCCGGCTACCTCCTCTGACTCTAGCCAAGGAAGAGATGGAGACTGGGGAGTAGGGTCCTTCTCCTACCACACCCCGAGGTCTAAGAGGCCGGCAAGGAGACTAGCACCGGCTGGGGAATCAGACCCAACTCTGTAACAACTCCCGGACTCGGGGGAGCTCCAGCTTCCCTCCAGGTCCCACCTCTGGCGGCGCTCAGGCTCCTGGCTCTCGGGGATTGAAGGGGTCTGGGATCCCAATGCGTCAAAGAAGAGCCCAGTTGGAAGGCTCTGCACAGTACTTTGAGAGTTGGCGGGTGCGCATTGGGGAAAGTGACATCGCGCTGTGCGCTGTGTCTGGGCAGTCTGGTCTGCTGGGTCCACGGGAACCCTCTGGCACGAGGGTGGGGAGCCCCACCCGAGCAGGCATTCTCCCCAGAATTCATTTTGGAAACCGAGGCCCCCGCGCTCCGCAAGTGAGCCTGGCTGCTGGGTGAGTCACCGCAAGCGGGCGACAAGGATTCCCAGCAGCTGGTAATTAATCGCGCCGCGGCTCTGCCCACGACGGAACCCCATTCAGGCCTTGCACCGCCCTGGCAGCGGGTGCCACCCTGAGTCACAGCCGTCGGGCCTTTGCAAGGTCCGAAGCGGCCTGCCCGCCTTGGGGCCACCAGGGGGCGCTGGACTCCGACCCACAGGGCAGCCTAGCGTTGAGCCAACCCTGTTGCAGGGACGGTCCAGGCTGTTCCCACTGGCAAATGCTGGAGCGGGGGATGGGCTAGCACTCCAGGGACAGATTCCATGCTTTGGGGAGAGCCACTTTTATTCTGTTTTCGGAACTCCAATTTACATACAGCCTTTGAGGAAAACAGAAAAGGACTTCAGAGATAAATTATTCCAAACCCTTTGTTTTACAGATGGGAAAACATCCAACAAGAAAGGATCACCTGCTCAAGACCAGCAGCAACTCCCATGTAGAAGCAGTGCCGCCCGTCCTCCCTGCGCTTCTTTCCAGCATTCCTTTGAAGACCCCAGCAGCTTTCTGACCCCAACTTCAAAGTTTCCACAAGAGGCCAGCCCCACCGATTCTCCCTCTTCTGTCCCCTGGGAACTATGGCACTTGGGCTCAAAAGCCACATGCCCAGGGAGCTGGGCCTCGGGGCAGGATCTAGGGGTGGGAGAGGAGGGTTTCCTGTGGGGCCACCCACGCCCACAACCACAACCACTCTTTCCACACATGTAGATTGCCAGTGGACCTGAGTGCCACTTGGAGCAGAGCCTGCATCTCGACCATCTTCCCTGAGATGCTAGTGCCCATCCCCAAGGCAGGTGCTCAGAGAGCACCATGGGGTGCCACATAGCCGTCCAGAGGAGGTCAGGCTGTTGATAGGACATCTCCCAGGATGTCCTGCCTGTGCCGTTCTGGGAGTCCTAATGCCTGCCCTGCCTAGCTCAGGTGTGGCCAGAGCCACAGGAATTGCCTGGGCTTGGCTCACATGTCCCCCTCTGAGCCTGTGAAAGGCCGACCCCAGCTACAGTTGGAAACTGATAAGCGTGGTTCCTGGGCATCTTCTCTTGGTTTTAGAAAAGCATCTGTGAGATGTCTAGCAGGGCTACAGGGGCAGGGAGGGAGGAGGGGCTTGGAGAGCCCACGCAGGCACCTGCATGCCAAAGCACCCCACCAGGGAGTAAGTGCCTTCTCTCTGCTTAAGCACTGAGCTGGTCCCCAGGCTTTTCGGAACCACTAGGCCCATTAGCTGGCTTCACAGCTGGTTGGCAAGCCTCCAGTGGCTAGCCCCTGGGCCTGCCTGAACCTCAGATTTTGTAGTAAAAACAGAACCATCTTATTAAATAATAAAGCACATCGTGGTTTTGGACTCTGCTGCCTGCTTCTTTGCTCCTGCTTACACACGGTGGGCGTGTCTGCAGCCCCTCCAGAGTTCTACCAGAGGTCAGTTGATCCTGGTCCTACATTAAGAGGATGGGACTCCCGGACCAGTACTCCCTCCACATCCCCACTGTGAGTCTGGAAAACATAATGCTGCTACCAACTGAAGGCAGGGGATCCGAGCTCCGGGCTGGGTGCCCCAAGCTGATGCCAGCGATGACCAGGGTGGGTTCAGCTTGCTGGGAAGAAGCCGGAGCTGCCTGCTGCTCCATTTACATGCACACCTTTGAAAATAGGCAGAGGATGCAGAGGCACAGATGGGGAAAGTGAGGCACGGAGGAGTGCAGCAGCCCTGAGTCACAGGGAGGAGCGGTGATGACCCTCCTTGGTGGACATGCCTTCACAGTAAACCCCCAGCAGTGTCACACTCCAGAGCAAGCCCTCTGAAAGCAGGCAGCTCGGCTCACCCTAGACTCTTCTTTGGGGTGTGAGCAGGTCTGTTCTGTGTTTGGGGAACACTGGGTTAATCAGGGAAGAATCCAGGACTTCTCTGGGCCTTCAGATTAGGACTCCCAGACGGAAGCTCTGTGAGCACTTTTCCTAAACCTACTCACCCATGGAATCTGCCTCTGGGCAGATTCCGAGGAACACTTGGACCTGGGATCATGGCTTGGGAACACCTGCCCCGCCCCGAGAGCTGGTGCGGGGGCAGGAGGCCTTCCCTCGGGTCCTCCCACCTGTGTCTGACCTTCCCCTTGGCCGACCTTGCACTTCTTTGCTGAAAGCCCTCCAGGAGCCCCGGGGTCAATTCTAAGCCCTCCTTTCCATCATTTGACGTGGCCTCCATCACCCCCTCACCTCCTCATCTTTTGAGACTCTGCTCTGAGTGCAAGTCCTCCAGAAACTTCCGTGGCCCGCCAGGCTGAGGGGTCAGACCTGAGCAGGGCCTGTTCCCTGCCGCGGCTCCGGAGTCCTCCTGGGAATTCTCCATGATGACCTTTGTCCTTCC